AAAAAAAAAAAAAAAAAAAACAGGCTCATGCCTGTAATCCCAGCACTTTGGGAGGCCGAGGCGGGCGGATCACAAGGTCAAGAGATTGAGACCATCCTGGCCAACACAGTGAAACCCCATCTTTACTAAAATATAAAAATTAGCTGGGCGTGGTGGTGTGCGTCTGTAGTCCCAGCTACTTGGGAGGCTGAGGCAGGAGAATTGCTTGAATCCGGGCGGCGGAGGTTGCAGTGAGCCAAGATCGAGCCACTGCACTCCAGCCTGGTGCCTGGCGACAGAGCAAGACTCTGTTTCAAAAAAACAAAAACAACAACAAAAAAAAATTAGCTGGGTGCAGTGATGCATGCCTGTAATCCCAGCTATTCAGGAGGCTGAGGCAGGAGAATCGCTTGAACCTGGGAGGCAGAGGTTGCAGTGAGCCAAGTTGGCATCATTGCACTCCAGCCTGGGCAACAAGAGCGAAACTCTGTCTCAAAAAAAAAAAGAAAAAAAGAAAACATTCGCCTGGGCATGGTGGTTCATTCATGTCTGTAATCCCAGCACTATGGGAGGCTGAGGCAGGTGGCTTGCTTTAGCTCAGGAATTTGAGACGAACTCAGGAGTTCAAGACCAGCCTGGGCAACACAGTGAAAACCAGTATCTACAAAAAAATACAAAACTTAGCTGGGCATACTGGTGTGCACCTGTAGTCCCAGCTATTTGGGAGCTTGAGGGTGGGAGGATCGCTTGAGCTCAGGAGGAGTCAAGACTGCAGTGAGCCATGTTTGCAACATTGCACTCCAGCCTGAGCAACACAGGGAGATCCTGTGAAAGACAGAAAAAAAAAAGGAAGAAAGAAAAAAAAGAGAAAAAGAGAAAGAAGGGAGGGAGGGAGGGACTGTTCAGGCACAAGGACTTCAAGTTTGTTTTTTTAAAAAAGAATAAAACATTGCCCTGCACAACAATGTGAATGTATTTAATGTCAGTGAATTACAAACTTAATGATGGTTAAAATGGTAAATTTTATGTATACATTATCACATTTTTTTTAAAGTAAATTAAAAGACCTGGTCAACATCAAGGGAGGAAAAAAAAAAAAAAAAGACTAAAACATTGCCAACCACGCACTAACATCAATTTGCAAGATGTAACAGTTTTACCTAATAATTTATTTTAAGTAAGAATACATATATATTCTGACCGGGCGAGGTGGCTCAAGACTGTAATCCCAGCACTTTAGGAGGCTGAGGTGGGCGGATCACAAGGTCAGGAGATCGAGACCATCCTGGCCAACATGGTGAAATCCCATGTCTCCTAAAAATACAAAAATTAGCTGGGTGTGGTGGCGCACGCCTGTAACCCTAGCTACTCAGGAGGCTGAATAACATAGAGAGACTCCGTTTCTACAAAAACATAAATTTAAAAAATTAGCTAGGTGTGACAGCACGTGTCTGTAGTCCCAGCTACTCATGAGGCTGAGGTGGGAGGATTGCTTGAGCCCAGGAAATTGAGGCTATAGTGAGCCAAGATTGTGCCACTGAACTCCAGCCTGAGCAATCCAAACAGTTTAAAAAAAACAAAAAAAACTGGGTTGGGGCAGGGTGGTGGGGGTGCAAATAATGATATTTGACACCGCAGCTGTTGGGGATAAGGGAGTGAAGGATGCTCCGGGGTGAACAGTTGGAATTGGAGTGTTTTGGGGATAGATGCTTCCTGGTCTTCAGCTCCTGAGGGGCTGTGCTTTCCCAGACCTTTTCTCCAGTTTCTTAACAATTCTAAGAGCTCCTGATGTGTTTCCAGTAAATTCCTTTTTAAGTTAATCACAGTCAATTTCTGTCACTGCAACCAAGAATACTAAATCTAAAGCTACCATGTATACAATATATACCACACAAGAAATTTATTCCACATCCTTTAAGGTAATGAAATGAGTATGTTTTGAAATTTTGGTGGGGGCCATATGGTGTTCATGCCTACTAATTAAATGTGTCAAAGTGAAACGCAGTGCACTTTCCAGAAAGTTTTCTGTCTTTGCATATGTACTGAACACAGGGCTAATTTTTTTTGCCCCAAACTGCTCTTCTTTCTTATTGTGTGCTTCATGGTCAACCACCTCAAGTACACTTCAATTATATTACATGAATAAAACTCATTGGAATTCAATTGCTGAGGGATATGGAGCAAGAACCTGAACCACAGATAACACTTTGAATTAACTTGCCCCAGCACTGACAAAAATCATTAGCACCACATTTTGCTTTCTGTAAGAACAAGTGTACTTTTGTACAGGAAAATTAGGAGGTTGGGAGAATGAGACCACACCAGGGCATAATTCTTCAAAAAGGTTATTGAAGGAGAAAAGTAACATTTCGATGACCTGCTATGTACAGTGTACATTTGATCTCTCTCTCTCATGCCCACCCCCCTGCTTTTTAAAAAATATTTGTGATGGTGCAGTGGTTCACGCCTGTAATTCCAGCACTTTGGGAGGCTAAGGCAGGTGGATCATATGATGTTGGGAGTTCGAGACCAGCCTGATAAATGTGGAGAAACCCCATCTCTACTAAAAATACAAAAAATTAGCCCGGCATGGTGGTGCATGCCAGTAATCCCAGTTATTTAGGAGACTGAAGCAGGAGTATTGCTTGAACCTGGGAGGCGGAGGTTGCAGTGAGCCAGTATCAGGCCACTGCACTCCATCCTGGGCGATAAAGCGAGACCCTGTCTCAAAAAAAATATATATATATATATTTTGCAGAAACAGGGTCTCATGTTGTTGCCCAGGCTGGTCTCAAACTCTTGGGCCCACACCATACTCCCACCTGGGCCTCCCAAAGTGCTGGGATTACAGGGGTAAGCCACCACACCCACAGTGCTTAGCTTTTTCATAGATATAGCTTTCCTTGCTTACAGAGTTTGCAGTGAGCTGAGATCACGCCACGGCCCTCCAGCCTGGACTAGAGTGAGACTTAAAAAGAAAAAAAAAAAAAAAAAAAAAGCTCAGCACTGTCACCAGGAATACATGGCAAGAAAAGCTGGCAATTTCTACATATCTGTGAAACTCAAATTGTCATTAATAAGGATCAAATGTATCAATAGTGTAAGCCCAAAAGTCTGTGGCAACTTCTTCACTTTCCCCAGATTGTCAATGGCACCTTTGTTAAACTCAACAAGGCTTCGGTTAACAATGCTGAGGATTGTAGAACTACAAATTGCATGAGGCACCTGAACCTGAAATCAATAAATGAACTGATATACATATTGGTTATGGTAAAACCAATAAACAAATTACCTTAATAGAGGTAACTCTTTCATTGCTAGATCTCTTGATAAATACGACATCATCTGACTGGAGAATTTGATTCGTGAGCTCTATGTTGTTGAAAAATTCTTCAAGTTCTCGTGATCCTTCAAATTCTCTTCTCCACGAGGTAGAATGAAGGACTACCTATTTTGTATTAATGAAAGGTATAAATGCCAGCAACAGAAAAGACCGTATCAACAGGCTTATTAAATGGATAAACTGAGGTGTCTAATATTATTTTTGTAATCTTGTCAGTTAACCAGTCACTACTTTCAAACAGAAAAAAAACAAAAGCAAAAACAAAAATGTGACTGACTCCTTCAAGACCAAAATATAACCACTATTTGCCTTGACGGCACTTTGAATAGAGAGCAATACCACCATATTTTACGCTTGCCTTTCTACTTTTTAACATAGATGAACTTTTTTTCCTTAGTAGGAAAAAATACCAAGTAAAGAACAAATAGCAGTTATGGAAAATAATTTCAAAAACTGTAGGGAGCTACAGCACAAAGGACTGAGTGTAAGGAGAGAAACAGAAATCTCCCGAGGCAGAGCCCACATATCTGAATTCCAAGAACAGGCGCTTTCTGAGAGAGAATACCAGGAAATGACTTCACATTTTTCCAGACCATCAACATACTTCATTTTTCCCAGTAGGAGAACCCAATGCCTGCTCCACACCCACAGACGTTGGTCAGGCAAAGCGGCCGCAACGCTTCCGGGCTAAACGCAACTAGGTCCCGCCCCCGGTCCTGCCTGGTCCAGCCAGGCAGAAGTTGCAAACTTTGCGCCTGCGCCCACCGGGCTTGCACCTGTAGGCTCAAGTCGCGCATGCGCTAGATGGGAACGTTGTTTCTTCTCCCCTACGCTTTTTCTGTGGGGCTGTTTTAGGGAGAGTGCTTCCAGGTCGAAAGGCTTGCTTCCGGAGAGCGGGAAGGCTAAAACGCGGTAACTAAACTGGAGCCAACCTTGGTTCTGTATGGAAAAGGCTTTAGCCATGGACAGGTCAGTTGTGATCGTGGGAGCTGAGCCCGAAGTCTTGTCCCTCTCGCCTGCTGGCGAAACGAAATAGGTGAAACTAGACTCCCAGAGAAGCCAAGGAGGTCCTGGGTGCTTCCCCTAAGACTCCTTCCCCAGGCCAGGAAATTTGGCTACAAATGCGGAAAAGGTCGCTTGGCGTGCGTCGGGGTGGGATACGGATCATGATGATTCTCTACATTCTCACTGTGTTCTGCGATCTATTCGGCGCTTTAGGGCAGCAACACTATTCACTCCTGGGGTGGGCAGGGTAGGTAGCCCGGCGTTCTACATGCTGAGTGACCAGCCTGAGATCACAAAGCCAGTCAATGAAGATACTGGGATCTCAGCCCAGACTTTCTGATTACAAGTGCCAGCATCAGATACTGGGTTCATTCTATAATCTGGGTACTATGCTAGCCGGCTGCAACAAAGATCGGTTATTCAAGATCCTTCACCTCGGGGAATTAGTTGTGTAGAGGAGACAACCAAGCAGTATAAGGTGATAAGTGTTTTGGAACGATTAAGTCTCCCTGTCACTGTATAACTATCAGGAAGACCTCTCAAAGAAGGTAACTTTCTAGCTGGTCTTTGAATAATAGTAGTACATTATTGGTACTCCAAACCTTGAGTACCTACTCTGTGACTGCATTGTTCTAAAGGCTTTGAATATATATTATTAGCTTATTTAATCTTCAGAACAAGAAAAATCCTATGAAAATATGTGCTATTATCCTTTCTTCATAGATACCACTGAGATTAAAAGAGGTTAAGGAACTTGCTGAAAGTTAGGAGGCTAGTAAATACAAGGACCAAATTTCCAACCTGCATCTGTGCATCTCCAGGCTACCTGGGGCTCTTTGAGGAGTAAGTAGTTGTTGACCAGATGCTCAAGGGGGCAACTGTAGGTCTTTGTAAAAGAAACATATTCAAAGGTGTTAGGATATAGAAAAAAGTATGTGCTTTATGTTGTAGCTTGGCAGTCACATGCAGAATATGTTTAAAGTGATATTTGTGGCTGAATATAAGACTGAACCCCTAAACTGGGGTCACATTGTAAATAGCATTTTAGGAAATTTGTACTTCTATAGACCAGAGAGAGATATCTGAAGGTTTTTTTGTTTGTTTGTTTTTTAATTAAATCTTTAAAATTTTGTCTTTGGTTATTGTTTCCCATACTTTCCTGCTGAAGGAATATCTGAAGGTTTTAAGTGGAGGAAAAGCATATGAGATTCTTGTCTTAAACATAGGCCTTTTAGTCCACACAATTTCGTTTCTAGACCTTTGAGTGAAAATGACAGGGAGTGATGGGACAGGAGACATCCTGGGTTGAAATAATTTGAAGGATCATTTTGCTTCATTTACCAGAATTATTTTACTTACCCTCTTATCTCACAAGCTCTGTTTTGTGTTGTTGTTTGTTTTTCAGTAGTACCTGTGTTTTAAAGCATTTTGGAGACTGCAGAAAATCTTTTAAGAGAGAATTCCTGTAATTAGATAACTCCTCAATCCAACAAGGGAAATGAAATTGACTTTTATGAAGCATTTATCTAAAACAGTGTTATAATATAGATTCCAAGTGTTGAAATAATTCCTTAGGAGAAAATAACATAGCGAGTACTAGAAAGTCAGAGAAGTTTTTGTGCAGGTAAGATTTGAGTAAGGCTTTGAAGAATAAGCAGGATTTGGAGCCAGGAGTGCATTCTCAGCAAAAGATGTAAGACTTGGCTACTGAAATGACCTATACCATAACTTATGCAGAGTCCTTTACTCCAGCTGTGATGATAAAATTCTTTTTCAAATACTACATTCTCATTTCACTTATGTAAACTTGATTATACTACTTTAGGAGTGGCTTTGGAGATATATCATCCCCTGTAATCCGGGAGGCAGAGGTGACACGGACTGCACGGAAACAGAGTGCTCAAAAAAGAATTTTAAGTATCCTTTGCAATTTAAGCATCATTATAAAAATTGTAACATGTTTGGAATCGGTGTTGTAGAATTTTCTTTTATGAGAGTATCAAATGTTAGCTATAATAAAATCCTGTAGAAATTTTTTTTCACTCTGTGGAACTGTTGTTTGGTAAATATAATGCTGAAATTTAATGAGATTATGTTTCCCTAAGAATAAAGATATTTCATTTTACTGCTATCATATTGTGGTTAGCTTCTGCTGAGATTAGATTTCTTTTTATTATTTGAAAACTGACTAAAAACATTTAGTTTAGTAGTTATCTAAAACTGACATCAGAGAATTTAGATGGCAGAAGGAATTATTTACCCTTTGCATAGAAAAATAGTAGCCATAAAATACTTTATTCTTGATAAATGTATTCACATAATTTATATAGTAAAAATATTGTTAGTTCTCACTTTAATGATCTCTTTTCTACATGGAAAACTTTTCTTAACTCATTGTACAGTTCAGGCATCTCAAGATGAAAATTTTGGTAATACTACACCAAGAAACCAGGTTATTCCTCAAACTCCTAGCTCCTTTCGACAGCCTTGTAAGACTTTTTTGCTTTTAAAGCACTTAATAATAATGATAATTATAATGGCAGCTAACATTTATTGTAGCACATAAGTATAGTATTTGGTTACAATATCAATAATTAAGCACAAATAATAATGATTGCAGTTATTTGTTGAACTCTTGCCATGTACAAGATACTTTATTTTACATAAACACACAGTAACTATGACATAGGTATTATTAGTTCTTTTTTTTTTTTAAACACGGGGTTTCACCATCTTGGTCAGGCTGATCTTGAACTCCCAACCTCAGGTGATCCACCTGCCTTGGCCTCCAAAGTGCTTGGATTCCAGGTGTGAGCCACCACGCCCAGCCCAGGTATTGTTAGTTCTGTTTTACCAAAACTGAAAGCAAGACTTAGAGAAGTTAACTAATACAGGCAATAAGTATGTAAATAGGCTGGATGCAGTGGCTCACACCTGTAATCTCAACACTTTGGGAGGCTAAGATGGGCAGATCACTTGAGGCTAGGAGTTTGAGATCAGCTTGGCCAACATGGTGAAACCCCATCTCTACTAAAAATACAAAAATTATCTGGCGTAGTGGGGCATGCTTGTAATCCCAGCTACTCAGGAGGCTGAGGCAGGAGAATTGCTTAAACCTAGGAGGGAGAGGTTGCAGTGAGCTGCGATTGTGCCCCTGTACTCCAGCCAGGGCGAAAGAGCAAGACTCTGTAAAGTATGTAAATAATGAAATTGGGATTCAAACAATGATCTGTTTACTCCAAAGTTTATTCCCACTATAATGCACTGCCTCGGTAAGCCTTATAAAATTAAAACATGAAGAATCCATTGACTCATTAGTGTTTTTAACTGCTCAGTTATGCTATAATGAAAGCATTCATAATTGCAGTAAGATTTTTCCTGATAGGCTCAGTAGTACCTAGAACTCAAATTTAGAAAAGTAAGTTAAATCCTTGTATTGTGAAAATGTTAACATTTAAAGTATTTATCTGGTTAGAGTCTAAATAATGGTAAACTGAAAAATTTATTCTTCCTTGTTTATTTGCTTACTTTGTTTTGATAATGAATGCCCATGCACCTTAAGTTTTTTCTACCAACCTTTGTTTGTAGTTACCCCAACAAACCGAAGCTTACTAAGGCAGCCGGATATTTCCTGCATTCTTGGAACAGGAGGGAAGTCGCCTCGACTTACACAGTCTTCAGGGATCTTGGGAAATCTCTCCATGGTATGTAGAAAAATAGGGCTAAGAACTTTTCCTTTTGGGTCGAGTGTGGCGGCTCACACCTGTAATTTCAGCACTCTTCAAACTCCTGACCTCAAGTGATTCTCCTGCCTTGGCCTTCCAGAGGTCAGCAGTTTGAGACCAACCTGGCTAGCATGATAAAACCCTGTCTCTACTAAAAATAAAACAATTAGCTGGGAGTGGTGGCTCATGCCTGTAATCCCAGCTACTTGGGAGGCTGAGGTGTGAGAATTGCTTGAACCCAGGTGGCAAAGGTTGCAGTGAGCCATGACTGAAAAAGAAAAAGGGGGAGAGAAGAAAGATCTTCTTCCTTTTAATAAATGTATGTTATTTGATATAAGTCTTTTAATAAATACTTAAAAGACTTTTAATGAATATTGAGTCATAAATCATCATAAAAGTATAACTAGGTTATATGGATTGAAATAATTAGACATCGCCGGGTGCAGTGGCTCACGCTTGTAATCCCAGCACTGTGGGAGGCCGAGGCGGGTGGATCACGAGGTCAAGAGATCGAGACCATCCTGGTCAACATGGTGAAACCCCGTCTCTACTAAAACTACAAAAAATTAGCTGGGCATGGTGGCGTGTGCCTGTAATCCCAGCTACTCAGGAGGCTGAGGCAGGAGAATTGCCTGAACCCAGGAGGCGGAGGTTGCAGTGAGCCGAGATCGCGCCATTGCACTCCAGCCTGGGTAACAAGAGCGAAACTCCGTCTCAAAAAAAAAAAAAAAAAAAAAAAGAAATAATTAGACATTTAAAAACTGAAAATCATGTGCATTTCATATCCCAGATGGAAACAGTGATACCAGCAACCTTTAGATGCAAATAAGATGTTTTAATCTGTCAGTTTGCTGACCAGGAGAAATACGTGCTGTGGTTGGTTGCTGATGGCTATAAAATCTGATCCCTGTTTTGAAGCATACAAGAGGAGAAATCAAAGGGTAGTAGATGAAGATTATCATAAGGAAGATATAAAATGTATCAAAGGGGATAAAAGAGAAAATTGGAAAAAACAGATGAGATACACTTTGGAAATTACTATGGAACAGTATTGAAAATAGCAAAAGAAATGTTACATAAACTGTGATGAAGAATGACTTCACCTAAGTATTAAAAATATACTATAGCAGCTGGGCATGGTGGCTCACATCTGTAATACCAGCACTTTGGAAGGCCAAGGCGGGCAGATCACTTGAAGCCAGGAGTTTGAAATCAGCCTGGCCAACATGGTGAAACCCCATCTCTACTAAAAATACAAAAATTAGCCAGGCATGGTGGCATGTGCTTGTAGTCCCAACTACTTGGGAAGGTGAGGTAGGAGGATGGCTTGAGCCTGGGAGGCAAAGGTTGCACTGAGCCATGATCATGCCACTGCACTCCAGCCTGGACAACAGATCCAGACCTTGTCTCATGTAAAAAAAAAAAAAAAAAGAAAAAAGAAAAGAAAGAAAGACCCATACATATAATTTTTAGAAACCTTATTTAAAGTATCCACTCAGTGAAAATAACTCCATCACTTTTCTATATTTTTATTTGTTTATTTTTTTAAGGTTGCTAATCTGGATGACAGTAACTGGGCAGCTGCATTTTCATCACAGCGTTCCGGGGTCTTCACAAACACAGAGCCCCATGGTGTAACAGAAGATATAACTATCAGTGCTGTTATGTTACGTGAGGATGATCCTGGAGAAGCTGGTAAAATGGCATTGAGCTTTGTGACAAGTAGCTTTCCACTTTACTAATATCAAGGAAACTGTCTCCTCCTGTTTCTGAACATCATTATAATATATTTTTCTCTTCCTTTTCTTTCTCTTTTTTTCTTGAGGGAGTGGCTTAAACAACAATTTTGTTTGTTTGTTTTGAGACAAGAATCTCACTCTGTCACCCAGGCTAAGTGCAGTGGTGCAATCATGGCTCACTGCATCCTCAGACTCCTAGGCTTAAGCAATTCTGCAGCCTCAGCCTCCTACACTAATTGGGACTGCAGGCATCCACCCACCATTCATAGCTTATTTATTTATTTCTTTATTTAGGGCAGAGTCTTTCTCTGTTGTCCAGGCTGGAGTACAGTGATGGCATCTCAGCTCACTGCGCCTTTGCCTCCCAAGTTTAAGCAATTCTCCTGCCTCAGTCTCCTGAGTAGCTGAGATTATAGGCACATGCTACCATACCCAGCTAATTTTTGTATTTTTAGTAGAGATGGGGTTTCATCATGTTGGCCAGGCTGGTCTCGAACTCCTGACCACAGGTGATCTGCCCACCTTGGCCCCCCAAAGTCCTGGGATTACAGGTGTGAGCCACTGCATCTGGCCACCAGCTAATTTTTTCTTTTCTTTTCTTTTCTTTTCTTTTTTAAGATAGAGTCTCGCTTTGTTGCCGAGGCTGGAGTGCTGTGGCACAATCTTGGCTCACTGCAACCTCCACCTGCCATGTTCAGGTGAATCTCCTGCATCAGCCTCCCAAGTAGCTGAGATTACAGGTGCCTACCACAATGCCTGGCTAATTTTTGTATTTCTTGTAGAGGCAGGGTTTAACCATGTTGACCAAGCTGGTCTTAGACTCCTGAGCTCAAGTGATCGCCTGCCTCAGCCTCCCAAAGTGCTGGGATTACAGGCATAAGTCACTGTGCCCAGCCTAATTTTTTATTTCTTTATAGAGACAGGATCTCATTATGTTGCCCAGGCTGGTCTCAAACTCCTGTACACAAGTCATTCTACCACCACAGCCTCTCGAAGTGCTGGGATTACAGGCAACAACAGAAATTTATTGTCTCACAATTCTGGAGGGTAGATGTCTTAGGTAAAGGCGTTGGCAGGGTTGGTTTTCTCTAAGGCCTCTTCTCTTGACTTACATACAGCCGCCTTCCTACTGTGTCTTCATATGGCCTTCTGTCTATGATATATTTTTCATTAAGCTAATTAGTTATGGTTATGGCTACAGTATTTGTTACAATATGACTAGAAGGTTGAAAATCTCACCTTAGTTCTCAGTCAGAGCAGCATCTTGCCATTTTATCTTTTAATGTGAACAGTAGCCCATTATATTATTAGACAAGTCTCATATTTTAATTTTTTTCTATTTGTACTGTTGAAAGAGTATTTCTTTCTTTAGGTTTAGTTCTTAATCTAACACTGTTGATGTGTTTTGTTTTGTCCTGGACCCTAATACAGTTTTTTTTTTTTTTTGACCACTGTATAAGCATTAACTCATGTAATACTTATCCTAGTCCATTAAATAGTTACAATAATTATTCCGATTTTTGAGAAAAGGAAACTGCTGCTCAAAGTGGCTGAGGAACTTACTTCAAATCACCTGGCTAGGAAGTGGTAGTACGAGGATTTGAAACTAAGCAGTTTAGCTCCAGAGCCCTGCTCTTAACATTTTGGTAACTACTTTCTTGTAGTATCTGTCAAAAATAGGTACTCTTTTTTTTTTTTTTTTGAGATGCAGTCTAGCTCTGTCATCCAGGCTGGAGTGCAGTGGCGTGATCTCAGCTCACTGCAACCTCCACCTCCCGGGTTCAAATGATTCTCCTGCCTCAGCCTCCTGAATAGCTGGGATTACAGGCACATGCCACCACACCCAGCTAATTTTTGTATTTTTAGTAGAGATGGGGTTTCACCATGTTG